TATGGATCTCTTCTAGTCAATCTTCCAGGCAATGGTCTTCCAGATTTCTTGATACAGACTGCTGAGCACCTGCAGGACTGGATCTGCCAGGTAAAATGTGTCAATTGGTGTCCCATTGCCTCCTGAGTCCTTCCTTTTTGCCATTGGCTCTGATCAAATGGTACTTTCTGAAATATTTCAGTGTTGACCAGTTCTTTCGGGTTTAGTGACTGTGTATTCCTTCCATCTTCTTTAAATGCTTCCTGAATCATTCAAGATTTTGCTTACAGCATCACTCAGTGTTGCAACTGTAGGCTTGAACTTGTTTTTTAATGTTTTCAGCTTGAAAAATGGAGAAAAGGTTCTTCCTTTCTTATTCTCCAACTGCAGCTCTTCATACATTCTGTTATAATTCTATGCTTTTTCTTCTCAAGCTGTACTTTGGAATCTTCACTTCAGCTCTCTTCTTTTAACATCTCTTCCCTTTGTTTTGGCTTCTCAGTGTTCTAGTTAAAATTTCAGAGTCTCTTTTGACATCCATTTTGATTCCCCCCCCCCGCCCCCATCTTTGCAATGATCTTTACTTTTCTTCATGATTGTTATCCTTTCTTTCATCCCACAGCTCCCTGGGTCTTTGATAATTGGTGTTCAATGCCTCAAACCTGTTCTTAAGGTGATTTCAAAGTTCCAATGGGATAGATGTAAGGTTGAATTTTGGTTCTTGTTGACCTGTTTTAATTTTCTTCGGCTTCAGTTTTAACTTGCACATGACTAGTGGATCTTGCACATGATAGTTTGTTTCATAATCAGCAACTGGCTTTATTTTGACTGTTGATATTGAGATTCTCCAATGATTTTTTTTCCATAGATGTAGTCACTCTGATTCCTGTGCATTCCATCAGATGAGGTCCGTGTATAAAGTCACTGTTTTATTTCCCTTCCCCCTTAAATTCTTTTATCTTGAGATGGGCTAAGTATGTTTTTTCTTTTGCTTTAGATTCTCTTCATTCAAAAGCAAGTTTCTTATTCTATTTCATTTTTTCTTTACTTCCAATCTTTTTATTGACCTCTATGGAATTTGCCCTGGAATGGAGAGAACCTAAAGGAAAAGGAAAAACAGGTTCAATGCATCTCAAGCGTAATAATTTTTTAGAATAATATTAAATTTTTAATTGACAGTTTTCTATAGGTAAAACAGTTACACAAAAAATATCAAAATAAGATTGAAAGAATACAAAGAACCACTCTACCAAAAAATAAGTCAATATTGTACAATTTCATGAAGAAATGTTAGAAAGAATCAATGGTAATCTAGGAAGAAATCATAGTTACAAAATATAGTTAAAAGCAGAGAATATCATAAAAAATGTTTTCTTTTGTATTATTGACTAAAATAAACAGAAGTCTTTTTTTTATCTGTTGTGTTGACTAAAAAGAAAAGTTTCTCTAAGTGGTAGTCAAATCAATACCAACTCACAATAGATTTTCTACTCTGATTGTTCTCGAAGCCTGGAAAGGAATTAGAGAATGTAGTTGATATTTAAACTTTTTGTAAGAGTTTATAGTAGTTTACTTGGATCCACAATACCCATGGCAATAGAAGTTGAGAAATAAAAAAAGATCTGTTGCATTGGAAAATTTTCCATCAAGAACCTTTCCAAAGGGCTAAAAACCAACAATGTTATGTGAAAGACTAAAGTGCAACTTATCTAAGCCACAGTACTTTCATTTGCTTCCTATCAGAGACAATAAGATTGGCACAGGACAGAGCAGGGTGTTGGGCTGTTCTACATAAAGTCGCTATGAGTCACAGGTGACTAGACGATACATAGCAACAATAACAACATACTATTGAAAATTGAACAATGACTAAAGATGGTGGAAGAAGAGATGAAGCCTTTGAATTTTGGTGTTGGAAGAGATTATTGAATTTACCATGTGTTATTTACAGCCTCTGAAAAATCTCTGGGACTTGAGGGCAAATAACAATCACATATTGGTGTCAAAATAAAGTTTCTGTGTTTTGAATCAGACAAATTTTATTTAGAGATGGAGTGAGAGGGGAAGGCTGGAGGATTTTCATAGATTATAAAATGTTAAAGCCACAATAGTGTATTATAGGCAGGCCCAATTATGAATGAGATCCATTCCTATCTTTGTTGTTGTTTACTGTTGTGTACTATCCAGTTAGAATTGACTTCTATTTGACCCTTTAATGGACTTTCAGAGGCAGTAATCACACGGAAGGAGTTTGCCCTCCTTCTCCCTTGGAGCAGCTAGTAGATTTGAACCTCGTATCTTCAGATTGCAGCACAGATTCTCATCACTAGGCCATTAGAGCCACCTATTTTTGTATGTAAGAATTTATAAATAAATTAGAACAAATGTGTACAATTATTATTGAATCTTATTTTAGTGTAAGAAAAGGCATGAATGAACCCTTCTCAACTATTTAAAATAGGAATGTGCAGCAAATGAAGGTGATTGTATTGAAACATTTGTTAACAGTAGGTGTTGGTTCAATCATTTCAAGATGAATGCAAATTTACATATTAAAGGCAAGTATGGTTTGTTTTTTAAATAGAAACTTTATGTTGAAAATTTGGAACCTATTTTTAGTTTTTAACTAAAATTATCTGTTTTCTTTTTAGAGTACCTCCTTAATGGGGGGGTAATAATTCTCTTTTCTTTTTTATAAAGTAAGTTGATGAAACTTTGCAAATAAAGACATAAAAAAGTGAAGAAAATTAATCTAGTATAGTCAACATTGAATATATTGACTCCTTAATATGTGCAAATATTGTGGAAAGCATCATGGAAGAAGCAG